CATTTTCAAATTATTAATTGATTATCAAGTGTGCCGAATATAGTTTTAATGATATTGATAAACATAATAAAAAACAAAAGAAATGATTGTTCAATAAATTAAAAATGAAAAAAAATCTAAAAGTATTAAAATTTAATACTTAAGTTAAAAAATTGGACGGAATTACTCATTACAAAGTGCAAATTTTAAGAGATAACAATATGCAACTGTTATGATTGCAATCAACAAAAATGTATAACAATGATGATATATAATGTTTATCATTATATAATTAAAATATGATTTATTAAATCTAATGATGAATCGATATTATTATTTAAATAATTTCCAAATATAGATAGATATCGAGAAAATAAAATATAATATGACAGAGACCTCCAAAATGTCCACTTCGTTGCCGATTTCGGCATTTGTGTAGCTTTTTAATATTTCGAAAGATTTTTAATCGAATCGTTGAACGAAGATAGAAAGCATCGCCTTCCGAAGAATTTTCAGAGTAATACAGCCGGTAGTGGTGAGTATGGATAAATTGTGTGAGTTCCGAGTCGTCGAATAAAATAAGAATTTGTTTCTAATCGTAACTCAAAACTCGATATCCAAAGAATAATTGCACAGAGGAAGGCCAGCTGAAAACCGAAGATAAAAAAACTAATCAAACTCATCCTCAATAATGAAATGATGATTGCCGATGAAAAGAAGCGTGCAAATAAAAAGGCAATTATAAAAAAGCAATTTTGCATATATGTAAGGAATAAACACGATGTGATATATATCAACGCGTCTAATGAGATAAATCGCATTTCTATTACGCAAATTATACTGCAAAGATTCGTTGCCAGAAACACAATGAGAGAAAAACAGAACACAAAGTGACTTGTCGAAGATCTATTTGCATAAACTCATATGCATCGCCAAATTTGCCATTTATATCTTATTAAGATTCATTGGCTTATTACTTAAAATAGCAAATCGCAATATGACATATGCAAACAAAATCATATATTAAAGATAAGACAAACTGAAATGCAGAAAAAAGAAAAAAAAAGAAACTTCTGCACACGTTATAAAAATAATTTTGCTTCAACGTACCTGGTGACGTCTGCTTCTTCAAAAATAAATTTCCCGCCACGAAATAACGTATATTTTAAAAAAAGAACACCACTATTACAACATTTTATTTCACACTGTCATGAGAACATTTGATTATAATTTCTTCTGAATTGTTTTTATTACGATACATTATAATATTGATCCACAATTCATATGTCAATTCAAAAATATTAAAAATAATGTTCACAAATATTTAGAATACTTTCTTTTTTTCTTTTTATATTTCGTAAAAAAAGGAAAAGTTCCTTGGAGGTGTGTCACACAAGTTCCAAATAGTTAAAGATAGGAATATCTGTCGTAGAATAGCCGGTTTTATCACGAGTATTAAATTATTTGATGACGCCGTTGAAAACCGATTTTTCTGATTATTGAAAAACTTAGTAACAGAAAACTTAAACAAACACGATCTTGTCTATACCCATACTTTCCGTGCATTCGACCAACCACTACTGAACTCAACGTCTCATACGAACTCAAATCTATACAATGACTCTGACTTCATACGAAAACCAATTCACAAACACTAATGGATAAAATGGCTATGGCGGCAAAGCGCCTCTACAAGCAATCTTAGGATGTGACTCACTGTACAGGGACGACTCTATATTAAAACTTATCGGGTTCCTGCATCAGTTTGCACCCTCTTTATGTATTTTTTATCATATTTGTTTTTGCAAAAATTTATAAATTATTATTTTTAAATTATTTTTGGAAATGAATCAATAATAACGAATTTTGAAGCTATCAATTATTTATTTTTTTTTAATTAGATTAGATTATTTTGCATTATGCTACAGTTAAACATATATGTATATACATAATTTTTCGATGTAATAAAACTGAAGGAGCAATAATCTTCAGGTCTCTCTTGCATTTTTTTTATCACTTAGATAATTACAAAATTATATTTAATATAAATATTTTTTTTCATACAGGCACATTTTATATTTATATACAAGTTTCTCTCATCTTATAATTTCTAATCATATTGTCCATTAAGTATTTTATTAAATAAAAATTGTATCACACAAAATATATATGAATGCCAAAAGATAATTTTCATTTATAATTTGTCATTAGAATTTGTCATTATAATATTTGTTATTATATATAACATATGTTGTAACAGAGTTACACGAGTCCTTTTATAACATACAAATAACAATTCCATGTATTACAATCAATATGACTTATGATATTATAAAATTAAATTATTACTAACATCATCATTATTGGTACGTGCACTACAGTGCCATTTTATGAAAAATTTGTAATTATTTTTATTAAAATATATAATATACTATTGGTAATTACTAAAAATTATATCAGATTTTAATCAACAAGTATAATTTACAGGAATATCTGTAAAAAAACGTATTGCGGTTTAATCTTTGGATTATCGAATTAGAAAAAATACTTATGTTTAACTAAATATTAAACATTGCTAAAAATATTATATATACATATTAATTATAAAAATGTTTAAGGAAATATTAATCATTTCATCAGCAAAACATTTTTGTGAATATTAACAATTGTGAATAGATTAAAAATATTTAACGATTCGTTATAATAAAACTCGGAAAAAATATTGATATTCTACATGTTATTGATAACATTAAATATACAAACTTATCATCTAACAATACTACCATTAATTTAATATTTCTTAATTTTCAAGTACATACAAATGTACTTATATTCTATTTTTAATATTATATGAATATAATTAACAGCAAGATATAAAATGTACATTTCATTAAGTAAACACATTCATATTTATTTCTTCATCTCTTTTAACTTGATAAGTATTTTTGCTTCTCATAAAAAATATATTTTTATTGTCTGTTTTAAAGTAAATAATACTTGATGTATAACATAAATTCAATTTATAAAAAAATTCTATTTATTTTTCATAATAAAGAAGAATAAATAAAATAGAATTATCAATTATTTTTTCATTTATATTTTACTCGAATTAGTCCTATTGCACGATTTATATTTTTTAAAGAAATTCAAATATGTTTTCTTTCAATTATAATGCATTTTTCTTTTTGTGTTTAATTTATAATAAAATTAATTTACAAGTATATTAATTTTTATGAATAATTTTTAGAAAAAATAAGTAAAAAGAGTATGTGCATTTGCCGACTCATTTCTAATAAAATTACGATATCATTAGAATTATAATGAAACGCAAAATGTTTGTACTAATACTTATATTGAATTATGTTCTCTTTTATTAAAACATTAAATTTTTAGTCGGACGGAAAATGCAGCAATTATAAAAAAATAATATAGCTAATATTTTGATTTTCCTTCAAGAATTTACTATATATGTATGAAAAAATTTTTAGTAATTTTCTTATATAACATTTTTATATTTTTATATGAAAATAATTATAATACTTCAATTAAATGTTATATTGATGAAATAAAAGATTACTAATTCGATCAAGGGCTATGTTCTCTAATAATAATAAATTATAGATTATAATATATATTGCCCCACATATTTTTTTACATTAAGCCGATACAAAACTTTCCAGGTACTTATTTTTACTTGAAAATTCAAAGCTAAAATTCTTTTCTCTTTTTGCATTTTGATTAAATAATACTTTTTGAAGACATAGCATATAATATTGTAATGCTGTTGTTGTTTTATAGTAATATAATTTTGATGAAAAAATAATTGTAATACTAATTGTAATAGTAATAATAATATCATTTTAATTACAAATATATTAAAGTTTTCTACCAATATTTTATGCAATACGGAAAGTTTTGTACAATAGGCAGTGAATTTGTAATAAATAAAAAAAATGTAAAACATCAAAATATTGTAAACTAGATATTATATCTGATTAACAAGTTAAAATACATCTACCCTGAGTTTTAACAGCTTTATTTAAGAAGAGGCAAGTGAACAATTATTGTTCATTATGAAAAATAAAAATCAATATTGCCTCCTTATATTTTTTCTTTTCTTTTCTCAATATATAAAAATATTCAAGGCATTTAATGTTAACATGTATGTATATATTTATAGATATCACTTTTTTAGGTCATGACTTACATTGCACAACTAGTAATTGTCACCCCATATGACTTTCAGGCTCAGCTTTGTAATCTTGCATAGTAAGAATATAAGGCACGACACTAGCTACGCTTACCCTACCAATAAGGCCTGCAAAAAATAAATCTTCCAAGACTCTAGGATTAATCGAACGAAGTGGTGCGAGCCTTAAAAGAAGGCGAGGTAGCCTGTTAGATCCTACACGTTGTTGTAATTCTGTCCATGCTGCCTCTTGTAAAACTTCAACTTTTTTACGCCAAACACCGGCTAAGACATTGTCTAAAAAAAAAATTCATTTTCAAAATAGAGAACTTTTGTATAAATAAATTATATTTTACTTACCAGCACTAAAAAGCGTTAAAGCTTTAAGATACGCATATTCGACAGAATCCACTTGTAATTTATGAAGTGAACTAACACAATCTTGTAGTCTACATATATGTTCTGTGACAGACTTTACTTTACTAGCTGTAATTTTTTCCTGTGCAATACTAGCTTGCAAATGATTTATTATTGATGTTAGAATACTTGGAAGGGATAAAGTGTATGCACATTGTGCAAGGCCTAATGTAAAAAGCTGTCCCCAGGAACTGCGCACTAATGTTGTTTGAACTTCAGATCTATAAATATTAATAATTTTATCTAATATTCACGTTTGTAATTCTAATTAATATATATATTGTTCATTTACTTACGGTAATGCTTGAAATGCCGGAATTCCTCGTGCCCAATGAACTGACAAAAAAAGTAATCTAGCGGCACTTTCGCAAATATAATGTATTGATAAATATGCAGGAGCTGGACTAGGAGCTCTTAATTCGAATAATGTATGTCGTTCAGAAATTAATTGCCCAGTCCATTCTTCTTCTGGTTCACTTGAACCATTAACACTCTATATAATAGAATTATATAATAATATTAATAATTCTATATATTGTAATATGAAAAATGTTATAAATAACATACTTCTCCAATAAGTTTAGCCATGCTATCCAATGCATGCGAAATAAGTAAACGTTCTCTTGCTAATGTTAATGCATCACTGAGATCACTATCACTGCTTTGATCTTCCATACTAGGACTTTCAGGTTGTTCCCAAGTTGGAGGTGCTTCAGATATTGATTGTTGTGGTTCTGGTTTAACTCTAGGACTTCTATTTCCTACTTTTGCTCCTGCTGATTCACCTAACACTGGCTTTCTCTCATGTTGAACAGCTATAATATAGTATGAAAAAATAATTGCGAAAAAATTAGTATTATATTCTTAATATTTTCAAAAAACTTACAATCACTTCTCATGCCCATAGCAAGACATTTCTGAAGTCTACAATACTGACATCGATTTCTATGGTGTTTGGTAACTTCACAACTTTTGCTTCCTCTGCATTGATAACCTAACTGTTTTCGAATACTACGTTTAAAAAATCCCTTACAACCTTCACAACTTATTGCTCCATAATGTCTTCCACTAGCTCTATCTCCACAAACTACACATAATTCTAGTGATAGACCCAAACCTAAAGAACCACGAACATCTCTCGCTAATTTTACCTAAAAAATATTGAATGTAAAACAAATAAAATATGCGACAATATAGAAATTAAAAAATAAATAAATAAAAATTTTACCTCTACATCGACATTATTTAAATGTTCAATTCCTGAATGTAAATGAACTATACCAGTATGAGAACCCAAATTACGAAAATCTCGCCCCATTTTATGATCAATTTTATCATCATGCATATTATCAATATGATTATTTTGATCTCTTTCCATGTCTCTCTAAAAATATGTTTAATATTATAATTAATAAAACTTATCTAAAAATAAAAATTTTATGTTTAATTTACATTAAAATTTATATATCGGAAACACACCATAGCGGGATGATGCGCTAAATTATGAAAATTTCTTCCTATATTTTGATCTAGTTTATCATCTTGTAAATTTTCAATGCGATCATTTTGATCAACTTCCATATCTCGCTGTAATAAAAATAATATATTATTTTATATATAATTATAAATTAATTATTTCAAGAATTTAAAAATATGCATTAAGTCAATAACATTCGAATCGATTTTTTAAAGAGAAATAATTAGCACCTCTATTTCAACATCAGCCACATGATCCACACCATGGTGACGAGATAAATTACGAAAATCCATTCCTACTTTTTGTTCTTCCTCGTTTTCATTTATATTATCGTGATCGTGTTGTTCCCTATGATCTCTATCCATTTCTACCTGCAAAGATAAATAGAAAATCGCGTTGAATTAAAAATTCGTATAACGTGTACAATATTTCTGCAGTTATATCATAATACGTATACTATATATTTTCTAAATAATGAATATCACTTGTTTAAAAAAATTGAGTATATACAAATCAATAACTATAAATTTATTTATTAATTAATATTTTTTTCTTGATACTTAATAAGGAATAATAACGATATTATATTTATATTTAAACAAATGAATAAATAATTAAGTATTTATTTCATAATGATTAAATTGTAACATATCTGAAAGAAAATATTTGAAAAATCTTTTCTATAAAAATTGCATAACACATAGTAAGAATATTGTATAGAGTAAAATTGGATAAATCATGATCATATAGTTTGATTTCATCTAAACAGAACATATCGTTTAAAGGCCTAAGTATCGGTGCGGTATAAAAATGAAAACTGGAGCATTTGCCGCCCGCCCCTACCTGCCGCAACCCTTTCCCCCTACCATTTTAAGAAGTGAAAGAGATGGTCCCGAGTTCTTCGGTTCGTAGGTTGCTACGTGGTTAGGCGCATGCCGATACCATAGCCATGCTACACTGGCTGTCATAGAGCGAATGGTCCATTTCCATACACTCGTGATCCGACTTCGTCACCACTGTCAGTGCAGTAACATGAGAAAACGGTGCCTATACCGTTGCTCCAAAATAGTTAACATTTTTAAACTTTGTATTCATTATGCGTCGTAATATCAAGCATACTCTCAACTTTTCTACTCGCGATAAACTTTCAACTAAGGAACTGCAACTACTTTCAAATGAAAATATACTTTTACAAATTTTGTATTTAGATTTTTCAATGAAAATCAATGTCTATAATATTATCTTTGTGATCAATAATATTATATATATCTGATTTCACGGAAGTGTCATACACGAGATTCATCGTTTTTTCTTTTTATAATCAAGAATTTAACGATAGTAACATGATACCTATTCTCTTTTTTTTTAAACTCAAGCCATTGACCTGTTTAGACACGTGTCACTATTACATTTACAAATTTTATCATGATTGCCTTTATCATTATGTTTCAGATCATATCTTAAATAGATTATTAGATGCGTCACAATGAATAGTCTACTACAGCAATTCAAAATATGTTATTAAAAAACAAAAAGGTCAATCTCAATTGAAATTATATATCTAGAATTCTAATTTTTTCATAAATTCATTACTTGTATTTCTTTTTTATACATATGTATATAACTTGAGATTAATTATTTTAAACATTTTATAAGATGAATTGCATTTTCTTCACACCGATCTTAGAAAACACGCGACGTGCTTTACATTAAAGTTCGAGGACGGTACACACAATACACTACCTGTTGGGTCGACCTGTATCACCGCATTTGCGTGTGTCGGCGGTGGCGCTCTCACAGGTCACGCACGGTTCTGAAAATATAACGTAGCTAGCCACGCGATAATACGCACGGAATAATATTCGCGTTTCAAAAAAACAATGTTCCAATAAACTAAAATCGTGGAAATATGACAAAATGACACATTTGCTATATATAAAATCGTTTCACTCAGTACAATTTCTAACGCACAAAAACACCACGTCGAAGTTTAAAGGCAACCTTGCGCAGGTGAACGCAGGCAGGCCGTTCGCTGTACTGGCAGGTTGGCAGGTCACTCTCTTGTATACCGCCAAGACACACCGGCCAGGTGCATTCTCGCCCCGCTTGCCTGCTTTTCTACCTGAGCGAGAGCATTCGCTATAGAGGACCACATAGTGGCCTCTCGACGAGCGTTACAGGTTATGTCACGTAATACACGCCCGCGATGACTTATCGGTTGAGGCTCGAGGTCGCGACGTCAATCGAGAATAGGTCAAATGCAAACAGTAGCAAAAATTTATATTAAAAATATATATTATGTACTATCAAATATCCTATGTATTGTTTTTAGATATAAATATAAAGCCATCATTTATATTTTAACTACATACAAAATACATAAATTTCTTATAATTAGCAAAACTGAAATCCGATTTCTATTGACATCAATTGACAATTTTATCTTTTTTATGTATATATAATATATATATATATATATATATTAAAAACAAAATAAAAACAAAAAAGGGAAAATGTAATTATAACTTAAATTCGATTATTAGTATATATGTCATGATTATAATTAAAAATATACAAAATTTATAAAATAAAGAAAATTACATTATAACTATTATAAATTGAATTTTATATTTTAAAATAAAAATAAATTTAAATTTCGATAGATCGTCTAAAATTATGATAATTTTATAATTATTTCTAATTATTTTAATGCAAAAATATAAAAAATAATAATATATACTTTTTTGTTTATTAAAATAATGTTTTTTTTATTACTTAAATTCGTATTCTCTAAATATATTACGCTGGCTTATAACCTTTCGAATGATCATTCCAAGTCAGTTAAAGATTTCTTGGAACAGCATCAGTGAAGAAGAATAGTCATTCGAGAGTAATTATTTCTATACGACCGGACTTCACAGGTAAAGGTCGCTCGTGGGTCCGAAGGTTACCTCCTACCTACTTGATCACTGTATCGACACAGATTTATCTTGTAATTCTATTCGCTGCGTTAAAATTATATTCCTAATCGCACATTATTGTTTTCTTTTTAGTTTATCATAATCAATTTTTTATAAATATGCATCATTCTTTAAAAGAATATATAATAATATAAATGTTTTAATTTTTAAAGATAAAAAACAATATAAATATTTTTCAATATTTTTAATTGTTAATAACGTTTAATATTTTCATTTCTTTGTACAATGTGAAGTTTTAAATTTATTCTCTTTGTAAAAAACTGATACTAATATTTGTTGTATGTATATTATATTGTGTATGACAAACACACAATATTAATTTGAAAATTCTTTATTATTCAAGTCAAAAAATAATCAACAAAGTAACATTATCAACAGAGTTACAGAATTTCATAATTACAATGTCAAAATATCATATGATCTTTATGTTGTCATTAAGCGAGAATGTTTCATTTATTATTATTTTATTTAAAGAAAATAATGTAAGTAATTTGTACTATATTTATTAAAAGAATTGACATAATATGAGTGAACCAACGTTTGAAATTTTAAGTATCGTTATCGACAAAAGGATAACAAAAAACTAAATATTAAAAAATATATTTTTACAAGGACTTACCTATATTATTAATAACGATGACAAATTTGACTATGCATCATTTGGACAATTCATAGCAGCAACTAGACTTCGTCAACTATTCGTGGGTTAGAGTTCATAACCTCTTCTAACCTTTACCTTTCCTTTGCCTCCTTCCCCTGAGTCTAACCCCACTGTTCACCTTTATAGCTACTCAACAATGCATTTGCTGCCATCGATGCACAGTTGCATACAGATCAACGATTTCAAACTTCTATTGTAGAATTTGTATGTCGCGCCGGATCTTCGGTAATCTTGAGAACTGTTTTCAATATTGCTATGATCAATATGATGGTAAAGAATGTAACCATAGACGAAGTATAAAACAGAACATACAATGTTCTTTGAAATTTGAAGGTTATATTTATGTAACCTCCTTATTTTCGTATCACATACGATATTATTGATAACGAAGAACAATTGTAAATATTATTATGCATTTCCTTAATATAATTGTTAATATATTTGTGAGATATATTTTCACGTTATATTATATTATTATATAAAACAAGACGATATAATAAAGAAATCAAATTTTATTAAATCGATTTATTTAATGCAAACTTTAATTATTTATAATTTAATAAATAAATTTTAATTAAAATTTTTGTGTGCCAATTTTTTTTATTTTAGCCTTGATTTTTCAAAAAATATTCTACAAATATATTAACATTTTGTGTGTATGTATATATATATATATATTATATTATATATTTTATATATAATTATTATATATATATATATATATATATAATTAATATTTATATATGATATAATATACAAAATAGACATGTTTAATTGATTATATATTTTTAACATAAAATTTAATCAAATAGACTTTGTTAAAATTTTTAATTAATAAATTAAATAAAGAAGATAATAAATGTAAAAAATATATTTGATTGTCTTTTAAAGGTATAAAGGAATTTGAATATACTTTAAAAGCGAATAGATAAGAGGAGTATATAATGTGAAAACAGATTGGATAAAAATTGAGTATTATTGCTGTCTCTCGAATTAAAAAAAAAATTTTTAAAAATATTAAAATATTAAAAAATTTTTTTAAAGATTTTTTCAAAATAGATTTAAAATTAATTTTGCATCATCTCTTGAAATTATCAAAAGTTCTAATTTTATTTTAAATATTTCTGATGCTCAAGAGATGGCGCTGATAATTCAATTCTATTTCTATTCGTTTTCTATAATTTCTTTTTCTAGTTTATATTAATTTCATCTATAGTATTCTGAAAATGGTGCTGATTTTATAATTTTTTGCCTGTTTCTATTTTTCTTTCATTATTTATCATTATTTATCTATATTTATTTTTAGTGCATACTACTACAAAAGATGAGAAATATTAACTAAACATATTTTTATCATTTTTCTTTCGGAAGTATAATCTGTTTATTATTTCTATAAAAAATATAGATATTTAGAATATCTTTCGGATTTCATAAAATAATTATATTTTAATATACATAATGCATAATATATTGTGTATAAAACGAATATTTGGCATGATATTAAGAATAACATTAAAATATTCAGGGAATTTTTATATTCTTGGGTAGAGATATAGGATAAAAAATATATGGAATAGTAAATCTATTCTATACATCATCTATGCTTAAATAAATTTTATCTTCAATCAATTTATATATAATTTTGTAATTTCTCTTGTTGTTAATAACTGAAATAAACAAATATAGCACTAATAATAGAAATAAAAAATATATAAATATACAATGTACATACGATATACAAAAATATAAAAATATATATGAAATATATATACGAATATTGAAATTTAAAGTATATATATATCACGAAATGATTCATTTATCCCATATTCATATTCGTCTTTACTTAATTTATATTTAAATTTCTAAATGTTTAACTTCGAAATAAAAAATTATTTAAAATAAAAATTTAATAACAATGTATTAATTGTATTGCAAAAAGTTATTTATTGTAAATAATTTTTTATATAATACATAAGTTCATTATACAAGTGTTAATAATCTTTTATTAATATTGCCATTATTTATACAATATATATAATATTAATATCAATACTATTCAATGTTATATTGAAATATTCATTTATTTATGAATTAAAAGCTTACTTTTATTACTATCGAATTTCTATTATATAATATATATAATATTAATTATATAAATTATTAATTAAAATATAAATGTAAAAAAAATTTAAAAATAATATAGATATTAAAAAGCTATATTTTTATATTAATCATTTAAGAAATTTAAGATAAACAAATTAAGTGTAAATTCAATTTGTATCAAATTAATATCAGAGATAACTTATTATTACATAAAATACTTGAAAATACTTATTGATATTAATAAAATCAGCAATGTTGAAAATGTTGAATTTTTAATCTTATATTGTCTCATTGATGCAATGATCATTATTTTCATTTTTATAATGCCAGGTACTTTCTGTTTCTTATTTAATTTACTTCTTTGCAGATCAAAGATAACTGAGCTTATTTTCAATTTTAAGACATGAGTCAAAATAATTGTCATAAATTGTAAATAGCAAACAATAGAATATTCAATTGTATATTATAATATATTGTAATAATTAAATATATAATTAAATATATTGTAATAATAATAAAGCGATATGAATATAATAATATTATCACATTATATTAATATACATAACATATATGTATATTACATTATTATATGCATAAACATTTTCATTAAAATATTTTTGTGAATAGGATAGATTAATCATAAAAGATATATATTTTTTTTATACGAATAAGATAAAATATTTTTTGTTAACTATCTAAAATTTCATGTATCTATTAACAATTTAATTTATTTAGAATATATAAATGCTGTAAATTAAAATAATGATAAACTAAAAATTAGAATATTGATATATATAATAAAATACTATTATATATATTGATATATATATATGTATAATTGTAACATTTCTTACATAATTTATATAATAGTTACAAAAGAATGTAAATAAAATTTGATTTCAATTTTTGCTTATAAAGATTTTTTACAATTTATTACATGTAACTGGCCACTATTTATTATTGTATTGTATGTAGTATTTTATTCTTTTTTCATAAATATTTAAAATCTATTAGATTCATACGATGAATACACGTGAACAAATTCAAATTAGTTATAATTAACTATAAATATTGATATCTATTATCTATTGAGATTGATGATTGATATAGTTATTATCTATAACAATCAAAGAACCATAAAAGTATGTTTCAGCAATAAAATTAATCTTATTCTTTAACTTATGTAAAATATACTTGATTTCTGTACCAAAGCATCAAAATAATTTTACACACAAATGACAATCTTGATTGTTCCATTAATTATTTCAGCAGGTACTGCAAGTCGATCACAAAGATTCTGCATATTCAGTTAAAGGCAGATGTAAGTCATATTAGATCTCAAGTTCTTCTTAAGAATCCTTAAAAATATTTAGCACATAGTATATCCTAAGAAAAAATTTTCTTACCTATAAGTAAAAATATTACAATATCGAAAAAATTATTAAATCTTTTATAATATTAAAATAATATTTTGTTTATTTAAATACCTAGATTTACTTTTAATCTAAAATGATGGAATTTAATGGCCAAATACTTCTTGGCTAGCAAATACTATATAAAGAAAACCATCTGCATCTTGTTCTCTTTGATAAAGTTGTGCCATAGTCATACTACCACTAGCCATACTTCTTTGGTTTACTAATAGAAAAAACGCCTGTGTTGGATGTAGCTGTAATCTACGTCTATTAATTATAAACAATTAATATTATTTACAATTTAAGAAAAATTTTACAATAAACAAAATTTAAAAATATACCTAATGATTTTGATGAATTCTGCCACTGTTAAATAATCTGGTACCAAAAATTTAGATCTATCTAATACAGGTAATTGTTTTTCTCCATAATATCTTTCAACAATAATAGGTATTTTATTTGGATGATGTTGTCTAATTAATTCTACATCTGCAACTCTTTGTGCTAAATTTTGAGATGGAATTTGTTTAAATTATCAATGCTTTATAAAAAAAATAATAATGTATCTAAAATTATTACATTTAATATCATACATTATGCATTGAAATTAATAAGAAATTTTTAGAGATGATTTTTAGTAATTCTTTGAAATAATAATTATGATAGGATATATAATTTAATGTTATCAATAAAATAAAAATATTAAACTGTAAATTAAATAAAACTTCGCAAAGAAATACTTTGCATGTTGTTTTAGTTTTTTTTTTTTGTTTTAACTTTTATTTTTTATATTATAAATATAAAAAACTTAGTTAAATTATAGTTAATAGTTTAAATTATCTGCTCACCAAATGAACGTCTTTCTTTAAATGATTTTGGTGTTAAATTCATCCTGGATTCACTATTTATTATTACGACGTTCAAAGCGATATCAGCTGTAAACGGAGATATTCTTGACGGGTCAAAATAATGCCTGTCTCTATGACTTGTTTTCAGCTTAAGTTAGGTTCAAAAGATAATGCTAATATATATTCATATTGGTTTGTGCTGCCCTCTTAATAAATTTGTCAGTAGTTTTCATATTTTGTTCTTTCCTTATTATCTCTTCGAAAACGAAACTTTGTCACGAATCACTCAATGGAAAGATATAGATTGGAAAATAATTCAATAAATTTAATAATATGATATTTATAATACTTTAATGTAAAATAGAATATAATTTTTTGTATTAAAGAGTAATTTATTAAAATAAAAAATTAAATAGTGAAAATGATTCACATTATATTTATATGAAATAATAAAGTGTTGCGTTTTCGCGGAAGAAAGAGGAACTAACGTTGAGAAAATACGTACAGCTATCTAGAGTAAGATTTTAGTCTATGTCCTCCCTCTTGCTTTGAAACAGGAATACGTGTGGACACCTGTGCGTACGGCAAGCAGCAACCGTCTGTATACGTGAGAGTGCATGCGTGGGTGTCATAGCAGGCGTTTCTTTATCAATAGAGAAATGGTGCTCCCGCCTTGAGTGTTTCTTGAATCGGCAAGTGTGAATTTCTCAGTGAAAACTTGTGTCGGAATTGATTAAAAAAAATTAGTGTTATTAAATGTAACCTGAAAAGCGTATCTGTTTGTCGAAATTGAACGTACAACTTGATTGATACATGCACGCCAAACGTCAAAGGAAGGGAAAGATAACAAAAACATCTGTATTGTTAACATAATAGATACATAAGGATGAAAAATAATCGCGTCTTAATAATCGTAGAAATCACGATAGAGGGATCTTTACTACCGGAAGCGTCATGCTACTTCATTTAACCGTTGAAGATCCATGAAAATCTCTCTCATGCGACATCATTTTTATTCGATTTCAAAGAACAAAAACTATATATATGAAAAATTATATATGAGTTAGTTACTCTGATTGTTCATCCGTTTGCCTGGTCGTCCACCCCTTCCAAACCGTCCTGACACAACGTTTAACGGGTGTATAAAAAGAATAAACATGATGGCGGCGTGAGAGAGATAGATAAGTGAGCAAGAGAAGGGAGAAGAAGAGAAAGAGAGAGAGAAAGAAAGAAAGAAAGAAAGAAAGAGAAGTCAGCCAGCCAGCTAGAACCAGCCAACCAGTCAGTGTGCCAGAAGCGACGAACTTTGTTTCGTGCTATCTTTGTCTCAATGAAAAAAATTTATCGTTCCTGAATATCCATCTATTTTTTTTGCATTTATCCGCTTTTATAAAATCAAATAAATCAACGAGAACAATAAGTTTTTATAATTAATGCTGAGAGAACGTTTCGCTTGTAAACAGTTATCAAGGTGCGGCCACGTTCATCGTGTTCGCGGTGTTTGCTTCGATTTTCATGCATGCGGGGTCCACGACCGAGCGTGTGAGAAATTCAGCATATCTGAACGTCTGGTAACACGGTGGCTTGATTTCGATTTTCTAGTGTTTTCGTAGATGATAAAATGATATTTCACAGCCGGAAATATCCTATATGATTCGATGCCTTCTGATAAGAATCATTCGTTGAATTATAACACGAGGAAACTTTGTTTGAATTAATATAATCTGAATGATTTAAAGACAAAGCCCAGGAAACGCGATGTTGACGCATGTAAATAAAACATATGATTAGATGAATAACTGCCCGAGAAGACTTAAGAAATTGCTCTTTTTTAATTAATTCATCGTATAAGCAAATTCTGCATTTAAAATTTACTGAACTGAATTGAATCTATAGCTATTAATAGAATCGAAAAGGCATTTATAACAATTGAATAATTCTCCATCGATTATTAACTGTTATTTGATGAGGATCCATTCAAAAACGATTTATTTTTGAATATTTTTTATGGCAAATAATTCGAATCGAATCGTATATGGCTATTTTGATTAACGGTAATTATGCTTCAAGAGAGGTGAATTTCGTTGAGTGTGAAAATCTATTATACGAAGGACGACAACGCTATTATTTCGTCAAAGATTGACATCGAGACGTTCGAGAAATTCATCTGTTTAAGGGAATAGAATATTCGATGGAGCGAAATCGTCCGTGTTGGCCGGCCTGGTGGCAATAACCTCCAGTCAGAGAGGTGGCAGACAGTTTTCGCACGATGCGTTTGCCCTCGTGCGCGATAGATTATAAAATTAGACGTTCGAAACTTCGTACGAAGGAAAAAAGAGCAAAAATACATGATTCTCATGCGGTAAAGAAGGTGGAGACACTGACTGGTGATAACGAACGAAGGGTCAAGCGACGAAAGGAATTAATACAAGTCGGATGAATAATTTCGAGGGAGGTAGACAGCTGTGCATAGTCAGAAGTGACGTCAGTCGCGTTGGGTTCATAGTTCCTCTTATTTTTCTCACTCGGAGCTGCGTATAGAGACCGCGTGCGAAGGGGCGACAATGAAAGCAGCAAATAAACGAAAATAAAGAAAGAGCACGTCAATGACCAAGCGAAAATAAGAAAAAATACAAAGTCAAGTTTTCGATGAACGATAATTATCTAACTCGCACTCGTTACGTAGTGAAAAGAATCATCACAATTTCTAGTCTGTTGCATTTACATCGAGAAATCTTTTTTTTTCATTTCTCGACGAAATATTTTTAAATCGATTCTATTTCAAATTGCACGTGCTATGTATCATCGCCATCGTGGATCGAAACACGTTCGATGCGCTCTTGTAACGATGCGCATTTATCGAGCACGCATCGCAGACTGTTCGTAACGCTTCGTCTTAGAAGATTTGATAATTTCGTTAAATAATTATCGTGCGAAGATAACAACGAAAAAAAAAAAAAAAGAAAAAGAAAAAGAAAAGAAAAGAAAAAAGTAGCATTTCATAATTCAGTAGTTTATTTTAAACACTGAGAATGAGACTGAGATACAATTATTAAATCTTTTAGTCGATTAATTTATTTGAGGCGAACGAGTTCGTTGAAAAGTAATTACGGAATCGGCAAGTTTGACCAAATTTACTTCTATATTATAAATATTACATACAGATATAATAAACTAAATTGATATAAATCTGCAAATCTTCTTAGAACAAGAGAGATCGAAGTACGACGAGCAATAAATACGATTGCTTTTAAAATTAGGATATTAATCTCAACGAACCAATATGTTTTTTATCCAAACGACAATACATCGTGGCACGTTAGAACGAACGATATTAGTTGAAATTGCAAAAGAAGAAAGATATTGAGGGAAATAAAAAAGGAGCGTTCGCGATCGATGCACTTCACCCTGTTGAATTGTATCTGTACGAGTGGTCATCCAATGGTTGCTTATTTCGTTTTCTTTGATACGCGACCTAACGGTCTGTCCGAGAAGAAACGACACACGCTTCAATATCATCGTCAAATGGACACAAATGACTAGCTTAACATTATCTTCGAGCACGTTCGAGATGCCCCGGTCCAGATCAAAACTGTTCGTACCCGCGAACGCGATCTCAACACAGACGTACAACACACCATCAAGTGAGAACAATCATCTGCCACCCTTGAAGGGTAGCACATTGGCGCTGAAGCAGCCTGCCAGTGAGTCGTCGCCTAGCTACTTGACCCGAACCAGTCACATGGCCGGTACTCATCTTCCGAGTTTAAGTTCCAGCGCCAACAACAGCTTGCTCAGCCTGACCGGGAACTCCGATAGCTTGAACCTGAGCCTGAGTTCGCACACGAGCCACAACTCGAGCCACAACTCGAGCCATAATTCGAGCCACAATTCGAGTCATAATTCGAGTCACAACAATTCCAGTCATAACTTCACTCATAATTCCAGTCATAATTTCAGTCACACCACCGCTCACGAGTCGCAACAACACGCGCAATCGAATAGCCAATCAAGCACCGCGTCAGTGGTGAAGAATGGATGTTCGAACGGAAGTTCCTGCGGCAGCGGTATCCGCAAGCCGAAGACTATCATCGCCACACCGGACGTCGTGTTGAAGATCTACGTGGACAAGCTGACGCCGTACGAGCACCACGAGATTTTCAATTATCGGCATATTTATTTCATTGGGGCGAACGCGAAGAAGAGGCCAGGGATAATCGGTCGACCTCATAACAATGGCTACGACAACGAACATGGTTCCTACATCCACGTGACGCATGATCACGTGGCCTATAGGTACGAGGTGCTGAAGGTGATCGGTAAAGGTTCGTTCGGTCAGGTTGTAAAGGCGTACGATCACAAAAAGCAGGAGCATGTCGCCCTGAAGATGGTGAGGAACGAGAAGAGGTTCCATCGTCAGGCGCAGGAGGAAGTGAAGATATTGAGGAAGCTACGCGAACAGGATAAGGACGACACGATGAATATCATTCATATGTTCGATTCGTTCACGTTCCGTAACCATATGTGCATCACCTTCGAATTACTCGGTATTAATCTGTACGAGTTGATCAAGAAGAACAAGTTCCAGGGGTTCAGCATGCAGCTTGTGAAGAAGTTCGCGCATTCGCTGCTACAGTGCCTCGATGTTCTCTACAAGAACAGGATCATACATTGCGACATGAAGCCGGAGAATGTTCTCTTGAAGCAGCAGGGACGCAGTGGTATCAAGGTGAGCGTTGTTCCTCTTTTTTTTTTCTTTTTATATAACGTATTCACGCAGATTCTTATACATTTCAGATAACTTTTGAAAAATATTCTACAAAACAAGTTATAATCATTTATTTTTGGCCTATCATAAATTTCCAACCAATCTTATTAGAATACAATCTTGCTTCAAACGCAAGTCTGCTCTTTCAATGTAAATCATGTACTCAATCGAGTACATTTATTATTGAACAATTAACGCGTAAAAAAGTTGCGTAAAGTAAAAGAACGAGGTAAAATAATTAAAAACAAAAAAAAGCTCATCACGTTTTTCAAATTTCACGATATCATTGGATTCAAATGATGAAGAAGAAATACATGATGCTACAAAGGAAATATTATAAACGAAAAAGTAATAAAAAAATGAAACGATGATTACTTTATCAACGGGTTCAAAAAAATTTATCCATCGATTTTAAAATCAAACATCGTGTACGTCCTGTTATTCGAAGAACCACCTCCGATATTTTCAATCGTTCCCTGGCCATCGTTCTCGATTCGGGGAAGGTAAACAACCACGTTCCGTGCCAATATCCAATACGTTGCCCGTTCCACGCGGCTGGATTTTTACGCTCTTCGTTCGCCGAGATTAAACGGCATGACTCCACTCGACGGACAGGGAATACAAGCTCGTCGTTAGCGTGAATACCGGCAGGCATAAGCGGAATAAGCGGACAAGCTGGCTCGCGTGATGCGGTTCGTACACATCATTCGCCGTACATGCGTACGTATATCGTGTGTACCACGGGGAAACAGACGGATTTCGTGTGTCATCGTGCATCGTAGACGTTGTATCTGCGATATCGTACGACAATACGCGAAGATTAGCTTATTGACAAATGCAATCATGCGCCTATGCACGAGATACACGTACACGCGTATAGGGGGACAGACGAAGCTTGTCCTTGTCCCCTGTAATAAGCTCTGAGAAACGTGTTTCACGTCCAGGTAGTGTCGCTATTATCTCGCCGCGACGGTCTATAGAATTTGCACGCAATATCGTGAACTTTCTGGCCACATGTTCGCTTTCTTCGTCGGCCTTGCGAGGTCGAGCGTATTAAAGGTTATACGCGTTTCGTTCTCGCTTCGTTCCAACTTTTCGTTGCAACTCGTTAGAATGATTAACTACGCAATGACCGTGTGATGGACAGGGTGATGGAGAGGTAGAAAAATAGTTTCACTTCGAATTTTCGATGATTCGAGGTTATTTTTGTACGAATGGAAGTGGAGAGTTATCGCCTTACTCGTGTCACTGTTTAATCCTTACCGGTTATTAACGATTCAAAAATTTCCGATGTCATAAGTCGCTTCGTCATTTTTAAGGAAAATAAGAATAAGTAAAAATATTTCATCAAAGTTATAAAAAAATGTAATGAATTTATAACAAGCTCTTGCTGCGACGAGAGTTAGCGCATTAAGCTATAATCGAAACAAATTACTTACATTAAGCGAGAAAATAAATTACCAACACATCCAATAATTTTATTATATTTTCACACTTTTTTTAATTTTATTAAACAGAAAAGATAATTTTATAACGTTGAACATTTTTGAACGTTTTACGATTAGCCAGAGGCGGTACACTTTATAGCAAGACAAAGCTTTACATAAATTGATTTGAAGATGTTTGAAGGATTCATAAGTCGAGTAAACGTGGTTGTTACCCAAGCTTCCGGGTATAGACCGTATTCTTTTGAGTACCGTAGTTATCGGAGAATAGAGGTATATAATATCCAAGTGGTTGAAGAAAGAATGGCTCGGGGCATTTTAATAATTCGAGTAGTTCAAAGGAATCGGTGGCACGAATATAATTAACCAATTCTCGTTTAGCTCGATAAACTTGAAAACTTATTTAAACCTTTTATTTAAAACTTATATTTCAAGCGTAACATCGCGTTGTTGGTAAAATGAAAATCTGTTTTCCATGCTTCACGATATATATATATATATGTCGTTTATCGGTCTTAAATCGGTTTAATGAACCGGGGAAAGTGTACACGCGACCGATCGGCGCGAAATCACGATTAAGTTTCATTACTTGCCGGTTAATGGTATTCATCAACCGTTCTGCGGATATTTCCTCGAGCGTGCAGATCGAACCTCTCGGTTCTATTATCGGTGCATTATGAATAAGGTCGCGAGGAATGGTGTATCACGAGTATCAATCACGATCAGCCGAGTGTGAATCACGCCTGAATAAGAGAAAATAAGTCAGATTTCCTCCCAGAGTGATAGAATATCCACTCTGAGGTTGTGAACAATTCGTTTTCTTTTCTGCTTCTGATACGATGGTGTAAAAATGGAAGAAAGAATTTATCTTAGAAGGGAATATTCTCCAATCGATAATTTTATGCTTCTTCTCGAAAGCGAAAATATCTTAATTTTTCAAAATTTCTCTGCTTGCGATTATTAAAACAGTGAATATTTAATCGACACGAATGCAGTGTGTACTCGTTCGATCATTCTCAATTTCGTTTTCCTATATATTTAAGTCTTGGTTTGATTCTCAGGTCCTGTTATCTTGTCGGAATATTCATTGATTTTTTTTTAGAACAAGGAACTCAAGGACGCATAAGAGAGAGAAAGAGAGAGTATTACATTTTATCTAATTATATTCGTGTTCCATTGTTCTCGATACACACGATGGTTCGTTATCTTTCTTTTTTTCTTTCTTTCAAGTTATCCACGCCGACGCGAGGGAGATTGAAAAGAATTTATTCGCCTTTTCATAAAGTTGTACGGTGGAGAGCAATCGGTCGGGAGATGAACGTCGCGACAAACTCGTAAATTAGACGATGGTTGGGAAAGGAATAAATGTATAACCGAAACACTGTTAAAAGAGAAAACAGCGATACACACGATGACAAGTTAAATATTTATAATAATTTAATCGAAAAGATTAAAACTTGTATCGTATAATTTTTTTATATATCGCACGTTATGATGATGCTAGTAGTACGAATCAGATTTTACGACTGATCAACATTCCGATCAAGCGAATAATTTCATTTCTGGTTTAATGTTAACAACAATATTAACATTGAATAATCACACGTGTACCTTCCATAACTAGATATTCTCGTTCGTTTTTACGATCACGATTTAACTACACTTTCATGGATATTTAATATGTATCTTTAAACGAGTTATAGCGTATTATAAAATTTAAACGCAATATAAAACGCAACGTAAACTATGAACCAGTGTAAATAGCTCTATTATAATTATCCAAAGTAAAGAATTAAGAAATACATCGGATTGATCGAGAAGTATAGCTAAATATTACAAGATGATTATTTCAATCGTACGATATTATCGAAAGAATTACTCGTTAGTGAACACTTGGTTACGGTGGTTGGATGCCTTTCGAACCGAGTATATCTTGTTTGTGCGCTAGCTTCCATTAACCACGAACTTGTGGCATCCGGTGGTCCGTGCAAATCACCGATGTCAACCGGAACCACGAACCTTTCATGAATGACATAGCACCTTCTCGAACGGTATTCGACTCGGTCGATCAACGACATCAATATCTCGGTAACGAGACCGCTTTTCACACGTACGTTGAGCCACGTACGAGCTAAGGCACAATCGAATAGGAACTCGATATACTCGAATAGGTATACCGATACGATCGTTCGATCTTTAGGAATTGATCGATTTTTATCACTACGTATTAATTAATTACTATTAATTAATCAAATATAATCGTGGTTGAGATACGATTGAAAACAAGTCAGGATGGAACGTTTTCAACGATATATTCTCGGATGTATATACGGGTTTACGATCATTTGGACAAGAATATCTTGTCACGGTGTGTAGGAGAGACACTCTGTTGCGAGAAATACGAATGATCTCACTTTCCAGATCGCATGAACGGTAACAAGATCGGGCAGCGGAGTTTTCCACGCGGTTCGTTTCGATTCGATAAAGGCGCAGGAAGAATCGCAGTGTGAGCGTGCTTATAGATATACTTTTCCTCCCGTCGAGGATTTTCTTGGAAGCTCGAACGTATGTTGTTCGAGAATGGATGCCATATGCGCACTTCTTGGATATCCATGGCGGAATATATCGGATAGAAAGCACAAGATATTCCTTATTACTTCGATTGGATCGCTTCGATCGGATTACAAAAATAATTTCACGCAAGAGTGCTGAATTTCCAATAATCTCATTCCGACTATCCTTTTCCTTTATTTTATTCTTGATTCTTCGGGATTCGATACTTTCGAAAATGGAAATATCGAGCGGAATATGGAACTTTGATGAAGTTTGATTCGCGCGAATTATTAAACCGACATCCAATAATAATTCTCACTTCCAGACGTGTTTCTTCATCGATATCCATCCAAACGTCCATTACTCGTATTTAACAGATATTTGCTCGCGAATAGATGCTCGAAAATCAAAGAGAATTGGCAGGTATTGCGTCGAAGTCTCGTCGAAACTGGATGTTTCTCCTGTATTGCTTTTTTTTTTTTTGCTCTTCTTCTTTCTTTTTCCTGTACATCGTTTGTTGTCTGCCGCTCGACGGATTATCAGCTGGTTCTTCCCTCCCATTCTTCTCTCGGTTATTTTGAAACGGAAGATCGTTCGAAAATCACACGATCCCTGGATCGAAACGTGGTAATGTAACACGGGCTCGTGGAACGAAGAGAAAAAATAACGTATGAATGAGCGCGAGAGATACGGTTTAGAAAACGGTTTAAATCGAGGAGAATTCGTGTCGAGTAGACGGTCGATCAATCGGTTGAATCGACTCTTGGTAAATGGTGAATTCGAATTGCGCGTTAAGTATCCATCACTCCGTAGTTACTTCCATCACGGGTGTGCGCGAGGATCATTGTACGCGAGGCAATTCCCTTATGATCGATGGGTGTGTGTATATATACCGCGACAGAGAGGCGTTTGCACGCGTTTCGACGACTCAATTTTGGCTTTCGTGTTGCACGAAGATGAAGA